GTGTTCTGGGAAAGGGAGTTCCTGAACTGGTTACAGAACTGAAAGCAGAAGGTGAGTCACCATCACTGGCAGATTCAGAACCACCACCAGGCTCCTGGCACAAACTACACCCTGCTCCCATCCCTGAAGGACTGTAGTTTAAGAGCCGCAAGTCCAGGAACCCTTAGGAAACCTGTGCTGGTTTTATTTGGGTTTGGAGGGTTAAAAAGCTCAACCTCAACTGTCTGTTAAACCATGCTCTCTCCTCTCAGCTCATTTGTTCATGCTCCACCTCCCAAATCTCTGCAAGTCCCATCTTTGCTGGGATGAGGCAGGACACAAGCACTGACTTGGGCAACACAAACATCACCAGTGTGTGGCAGGAGGGGCTTTACAGCACTGATGCACAGGCAGAGCTCCTGGATTTCTCGAGCAGCTCTCCCAGAATCATCAAAACTGCAGAGAAGGGAACTTTCCAGGCCAGCCAGGAGCTTGGGGTCCATGATATAGGCAGGGGTTTACGTGAAACCTATAGCTCAGCATGCTGCTGGTGCACTGAAGGTGTTTGGTAAGGCAAAGCAGCCTCATCACAGGAGCCATGCAGCTTGTTTTAGACAATTCTGGCTCACTTCCACAGCAGGATTCGTCTGTGACTGCTTCATCCGCCTTAAATCATTTCATAGAACAGCCTGAGCAGGACTCATCAGCTAACAATAATAACTGAATTTAAACTTTGACCATATTTAGCCAAACCTCACTTGCACCCATCACTCACTGTCCATGGGCTCCATACTTACACAGCCTTGCTACTCCTCTGCAATCTCTGTCTCCTGGTGCACAACCACTTTGGTCACTGACATGTCTGGGTGCTGCTCCTTTGCTGCTTTGATGGCCTGTGCTAGGACCTGAAAGAGACCACATTTCAGAGCATGCCACCAATGTTCCTCAGGGGCAGAAGAGACTATTTCTAACTCTGGGGAGAGAAAAAGAAAAGCGACTCCACTTCAGCTACACAGTTTGTTGGTGGCATCAGATGATCTCTGAAAGGAAAAGCTGTTTTCCAAGAACACACCACATCTCTCCACTGCCCCACAGTAGTAGAGGGCTGAGAGCAATTAAGCAAACCCTGTTTATGCAGCCAGCCAGTGTGATGAGCACATTTCAGACACCTTCTCACACATCTCTTGGAATTAATAAACTAGTTCTTGTCGTACAGATGTTCTCCTGCCCGTGACACTTGCCACTAAAATCAATTCAAAGTATAATTCTCTGATGACAAAATCATCATTTCCAACACATGCTCCAGGCCAATGAGCCTGACTCATCAGAAAGGTTTCATATAAAGCTGATGAGGTTTAACGCAGGTGCTAAAGTGCTATGAAATGGCTTCTGGCACTACACAGCAGCAATAATGCTTCAAAGGGATCAGCAAATTCATGCAGATCTCAAGGAAAAATTGTATTTCACCTTTTTCGTGGACTTTTTTTTCCAAAATTGCATTTGTCTGGAACAATTCTGGAATCAAAACTTTGCTGCCAACACCAGCTTTGGAAGAGAATTGAGCTTTGCTGGCCCAGCTCTAACTGCTGCAAACTGTCAGGAAGGGATTTAGTACTGAAATCCATTTTGAAGTTTTATTTCTACCCCAGTAAAATTCCCCTCGGCTGTTTCCTGGTGAAGCTGTCTTCAGCAAGGCAGCCTCAGGGCCTCATCTGTGCCAGCTCTCAGAAGCTCTTCTGGACCACATCCAAACTCCTACCTGGTCGTGGTCTACATCTGCATCTCCTGTGATGACAATCCTCTTTTCAATCCGTGTCTCCGAAATGCCACCTTTTACAGTCTAGTACAAAAGGGAAAACCACTGTAAGTCTAGGAAGCAAAAGGAACTGGAGTGCACGGGGGCTGCCTGCCTAAAGACAGGGTGCAAAAATAGCATTTCCAAACGCTGCCGTCATACCACGGTAGCAGCACCATGGGGGAAACTGCCACTGCTCAAAGGAAAACTGTCAAAGAGTCATTTTCTTCTAAGTAAGTGAGCCAGGGAAGAGCTTTGGCTGACAGTACAGTTCTTCCTTGTGGTCCCACAGGAAGCTGACACAGAGCCCCTGTCCACAGTCTGCACTGCAACTAATGCACTGCTTACAGTCTTAATTCAGCACAGGCAAAGCTGGGACCTTCCTGCTTTGTTTCTGGTATTAATCACATTTTGTGAAAGGATCTTTCAAAACTTTTATTTTTCTATCATTCAACTCTGCCCATCTCTCTGTCTTCTTCTTGTTTTAGTTGTTGGTGGTGATACACTGTGTTCCTGTGCCGTTACCTTTGTGATCTGGGTGGTGGTGGTGCTGCTGGTGGTCTCCGAAGTGATGGTCTGAGCAGTCAGCAGGATGCCAGGGTCTAAATCTCCATTGCCACCATCCGTCTGTGGGACAGAAGAACAGGCCATCAGTCTCTGTGGGCTACATGGGCTGGAGCAGGGTCTCCACATCAACAGAGCAATGCAATCTGAGGACAGAAACTCCTCTCCATCGTCGACCCCGGGACAGAGCGAGCTGAGCTGCACAAGGACCATGCAAGTCTCTGAAGGCTCAGCACAGCCCCTGGGCTTTAAGGCTGGAAAAGCACAGCCCCACAGAATCCCCCAGTGGACCTCTGGCAATGAAAGTCCAGAGAGTTGTTGAACCAGGAACATCTATAGCTGGTCACTTGGTTCCCATCTGCACAACTCGACCTCTCAAGGTCTGCTGAAAAACCTGAGACTCATCCTTGCCAACTCCTCCTGGCCTCAGTGCACCACTCCGGAGCGCTGGGCAGCAGCCCCAGCACGGCAGAGGGACAATATCTGGAATTACCACAAGGTGGGACCATTTCCCACAGACTGGAAGGAATCTCACTGCACATCACAAGCTGGAATTCTCCCCAGAGACTCGCTGTTCCTTTTCATTTCCCTGTTAGAAATGGTAACAGCAGTAACAGAGCAGAGCTCCTCTATTCCCTTAGTGACTCACTGAGAGACAGGGTGATGCTCACCACCACCCAGTGCAGGCATGTCTGAACACATGCCTGTGCTCCTGCTGAGCAGCCACGGGATTCCTCGGGAACCCCAAGTTATACAAGCGTGGTCTGTGGGATACCTGCACCTGAACCCACATCCCACAGTCACTACATTCCAACAGCAGAACATGGTCTGGTTCTAACAACCACAGTTATCATAGAATCATGGAATGGTTTGGGTTGAAGGGACCTTAAAGCTCATCTAGTTCTCACCCCCTGCCAGGGGCAGGGACACCTTCCACTAGAGTAGGTTGCTCCAAGCCCCTGTGTCCAACCTGGCCTCGACAAACCCAAGCTAACAAAGGCTCCACATTCTCAAATACATAAATAAAACCTATTTTAGATAGAGGATTAATTTCAACCTTAGGAATGAAACCACATCTGTGTATGTTGGTGTCACTCAGCATTTCTAGCTTCCGATTACCTGACAGATGCATACTCTGGTTGCATTTCATAGAAAACTTTTAGTTTTCAGGCTTGAAACCTAAAGGACAATCAAATCCTTTATAAACCAAGTTCTGAAGAGGCATAAACAGTGGGAAGAGCTGAGGAAAACAAGACAAAATATCTCTTGCAGAATAAAGACCATCTCAGGTTAACTCTGCAGAGGTAAATCCACATCTCAAAGCCACCAGTGCCTGAAGATAAATTCTGTTCAGAAACAGATAGTAAAACCACTGCTCCTCTAGAAACACCAGATGCACCTGGAAATAGTGTCCACAGCACTGGTTAACATCTGTGCTGTGACTCAGATGCTTGGAGAAAGGCAGTTGCTGCTGCCTCATTCCCAGGATTTGGAAACAAAAGGTTCACTTGAGTTTAATTATAGAATTATACAATCACAGAATCAAACATGTTGGAAAAGACCTTTAAGCTCATCAGGTCCAACCATTCCCAGCACTGCCAAGGCCACCACTAACCCCTGGCACTGAGGCCTTGTCTACCCGGGGTGTGAACACTCACAGGGATGGTGACTCCAGCCCTGCCCTGGGCAGCCTGTTCCAATGCCTGAGCATCCTCTGGGCAAGGAATTGTTCCTCAGCTCCAGCTAAACCTGCCCTGGGGCAGCTTGAGGCCGTTTCCTCTTGTCCCATCCCTTGTTCTCTGGGAGCAGGGACCAGCCCCCTCCTGGCTCCATCCTCCTGTCAGGCAGTTGCAGAGAGCGATCAGGTCCCCCCTGAGCCTTCTCTTCTTCAGACTAAACCCCCCAGGTCCCTCAGCCCTTCCTCATCACACTTGTGCTCCAGGCCCTGCACCAGCTCCGTTGCCCTTCTCTGGCCCCACTCCAGCACCTCAATGTCTCTCTTGCAGTGAGGGGCCCAGAACTGACACAGGATTCGACGTGCAGCCTCCACAGTGCCCAGCACAGGGGGACAGTGGGTGACGTCCCCTGCCCGGCCCTTCCTGCCACACCGGGGCTGATCCAGGCCAGGATGCTGGTGGCTTCTCGGCTGCCTGGGCACACTGGAATTAAGCCCCTGGAAAATGAATCAGAACACACCTTACCTGTGCAGCTTCGTAGGTGATGGTCTTGGTCTCCGTGTGGACGATGGGGACTTCTTTTGTGGGAATTTCGCTCTTGACAGCGCTGGACACGTCGGAGATGGTGACAGTCTGTGTCTTCACTAGCGGTGGCTGCGAGACAGGGTTAGAAACATCTCCATGAGGACCCAGTTAAGCATTTCCACACCGTGACAGTGCTCCTGGCAAATGTTCTGACACTGATCTGATAAAAGCACTGTGGGAACCAAGCTGAGCCTGGAAATCTTTGGGTTTAAGTCTCTAGGACAACACATTGCTCAGAGGGCAGAGATCATGTGTGAGGATTAAACAGAGAAACCCTCCAGACCTTCTCCAACACCCTCAGGTCAGCCCAAGCGAGGCACAAAGGGTTTAACCAGTGTGTCACAACACCACAAAGAAACTGTCTCCACTGACAACCCTCATCTACTGACGACAATGTCAACATTAACACAACCCTTGGGCAAATAAGAGACTTGCTCACAGCTGAGAAGCTTCATCCTGACTGCAAGTGAAACACTGCATTAGCAAAATTCCTCATCAGACCCTAGGTCTTGAACTTTTATTAAATCAATGTCAGACAAAACAGAAATGGGGAGGAGGGGGAGAGAAATCAGTTGTTCCACCACCTGATAATTATCCAGAAGACGACCAGGTTAGTTCAGACCCACAGTGTTCTCCCAGAGGGCTTGATTTCTGCTCACCATTCCCAAACCTGACAGATGCCACTGTGGTTGTTAGCAGGGGAAGTGGGCATCTATTCAACCAGAAGCAATTCATACCAACACTGAAGCAGGCAAAAATACCTCCCGTGGTGGGGAGCAGGAAGGGGACATCAAAGCCCACGTTCGTGATGTAAAAGTGTGTTTGACAGCGCCTCAAATTTGCTCTGCTGTGTTAAGGCTCAGCCTCTGCTACAGCAGGAGATGGCAAAAACCTTAAGGAACTAAAATCACATGCCTTCAGAGCCTAAATATTCCCCTTTTGGGGGATGCAACAGGATGCTTTGAGCAAAGAAAGGCAAAGGGCGTTGTGCCGTGACAATTTCATGTGAAGACAAATTGAGAGGGGCTTGTGTGCACTGGCTGTGGGAGATTAACCGGCTGATTAGCTCTAAGCACGAGGCCAAGCCAACAGAATTCCTCTCTGGATCCATGGCATCTGCTTGCTGCAGTGTTTGGGTCCCACTCCAAAGGGGGTGCAGGGGAGCAGGCGCTGGGCTCACTACCTGGAAGCAGCGAATGACTGCGGGCAGCCCGGTATTAGCATCCGAGTCGTGACACTCGCCATTTAGCTCTCTAAAGGCAAATCTGTCTTCACCTTCCTCTGCCACCTCCTCCTCTCCTGCCCAGGGCTGCTGGGGAGGTGCAGGGCTGGTGGGGGGCTCCAGCTCTGAGAGCTCCGAGTCCTTCTCCACATCCGCACAAAGCCCCTCTGCACATCTCAGGTCCTCCTCGCTCGCGGGGAGGCTGGGAGCCACCTCCTCCTCCTGCTCCTCCTCGCTGCTTAGGGAGGAAGCACCAAAGTCCTGGCTGGGAGAAGGCTCTGAGGCAGGTGGCACCGGGGTCTCACTACAAGCTACCGACCGCTTTGAGCCCTCCCATGCCACGCCAGTGTTAACACTGCTCCTCTCTGGCACTGCAGCCACATCCTCTCTGGAGACAAAGTCACTCATTGTCTAAAAGGAAATGAATACACAAAAAAGGCCAGGGAGAGAAAGAGAAAGAGCGTTAGGGAGAACAGGAGGTCATGAAGCATAAAGGCAAAACATCAGTTTCTTATGTACCACATCTCTGGTAAGGCATGCAACAGCAGTGGGTTTGGACACTGGAAAGCCTGAAGACCTTTGTGCTATGCGGTGTACCCATGGCATTTACCGACACAGCTTCCTGGTACACGAATAATCCACTCTCCTGCAGTTCAAGGAATTAGTAACTCTGCACCTAGAGGAAGAATCACTGCTGAAGAAACAGGAATGATTTCAGTGTAGGAAGCGGGGACTTCTGCACATCCAAGAATCACATGTGCCACAACCACACTACACCAAAACCGTACTTCAGTTCTGCTTTTAACCCCTTGAAATACTTTATGTTGTGTTTTAAGCTACACGTGGAGCTTAAAAGAATAAGCCTGGAGTTACTGTGCAGGATAATCTGCCTGTGCCCTGCTCTTTTCCTCACCTCAGGAATACCCGCACCTCTGAGCACCCTCTTTGCTGTTGCAGTCTCTGGGATAACTAACCCAGACTTGTTACGGTGTTGGTGAAACTATCCTAAGACTATCTACAAGTTAGCACTGAAATCAACTGCTTCAGTGACCAAGAGGCTCCTGAACTGGCGATGCAGCCTGGTCATCTGAAGGAATCTGCATGATTTCCTCAAGACAAACCAGTTCAAGCCGCTCAGCACAAACCCTTTCAGCTGAGGACTAAAGAAATGTGGCTTTAAGCTGGCAAGCCAGACGCTCACCCTGCTGTGTACTGACCCATGGCCACCACACCACCGTTCACAGCCCAACAAGCTGCACTTCACTATTTATTTGGCATTACTGACATGATTGTAACACACTTTATGCCAAAAGCAGTTGGCACATGGACACCTTTGCAGCAGCTAAACCTCCTGGAGGGCCAACATAACTGGCATCTGTGATGGAGAGCAGGCACGTAATGAAGCAAGTCAGCTCTCCCAGAAGCAAGGAGCGTGTCCAGAGCACCTGAGATGTTTGGGAAGAGCTTGCCAAGCCACTTTAACCAAGGCTGGTGCTCTCCTGCTTTCTGTTCAGCTTGTTAGCAAGGTCCCAACTAGGTCTTCTCACACTTTTAGGCAGGAGGGAAGCAACAGTGGCAGAGGAAGAGTTAAAATAAGAACATGACAGAAAGGTTTAGCAAAAACCGGCTGTTTGCCCCAATACCCAAGTGATCAATATTTCACATTTCAGATTTCACAGAGCAGCAGCATTTCAGTCATCAGCAGTGGGTGATGGCTACAGCCCTGCCCTGGGCTAGAAACTGTGCCTCTCTCATTACTGACATGGAAAGTTGCCTTCAAGGAAGGCAGAATAAGCAGTTACGGGCACCTACAATATTACACATCTTGAAGTTGTCACATCATGCAGCATCAGGGAACAAGGAGGAAAAAAACCACTCAGGATACTGCATAATCAATGCCATTGATATTTCTTTTTGGTTATTAACCTCAGGGCTGATCTCTGTTCATCCAAAAAACAGTGATTCAATTTTCATCAAAGCATGGCAAGTCCATTTTGTCAACTGGGATTCTAATTCTGGTGATGGGATAAAGAAGAACAGAGACTGTTGCCTCACTTTGTACTAAGCAGAGTCTCTGGGCAACCAAAACCCTGTAATTTGTGCTTAAAATGGGAGGTCTGAAGCCTGTGGGTTACCCAGTACAATGTGTTTTCTGTATACCAGAGGCTTTCACCCTGACTGACCTCATCTAATGGCCCAGTTCAATAGTGTGTTAAAGAAAAGGAGCTGCTTTACAGAGGAACAAATAGATGCTTATTTTAGTATCATTTCAAGAAATTACTCTTTCCACCATCCCTCCTGGGTATTTTTCAGTTCCCTGCTGCTTTATATTGCAGAGAGATTACCTGTAAGATTTCTATCCATTAGGATTTCCAGCCTCTTGGGCTTAAGTTCTTGGGATATTGCTTAGGAAAATGCATTTAATACTTCACAAAACAGGAGTGGAGGTGTTTTAAACCCTGAATTTATAGACTGATTTTTCCTTATGCTAACTCTTGCAAATTCACCATGGGATCTTGAGAAGACACAGAACATCTTCTGGGGTTTAATGGGAACTGCCTCAGGAGCAAGACGTCCTTATGTGACGGCCTGGGCACGACTCCACCAAGAGGAAGAACCACAGATAGAACAAAGCAGATTAGGCAGCTACACAAAGGCAGATCTAGTTAAGAGACAAACATTGGTATAGTCAGAACAACTTCCCAGAGGAAAAATACTGTGCATTTTGGAAGTGTCTTGCGTGGTAAAAGCATAAAGGGAGGGAAAAGCTTAAATGAAGCCTAGAGCATACATATATAGAGTGGTATCAGCACAGCAAAGTGCAGCAATAAACATGCAGGCTGTGAAGCCAGAATGAAATCCTGATAAGATCAACTGATCAGAAGCACTTTTTTGCTTGCTTTGCTATTCCACCAGTAAGAAGAAGGACTCATTGGAAGGTGTTTGTTTCTATAGAAAGTTATCTATTGACACACATTTCTCTTTTTAAAGAACACAACTGTGTTTGGTCCTGTATTTCAAATATGTTTGAATGTAGGCTCGAAATGTTATCTTTCAATATAAGCCACAAATAACCCAACTCCCCCCCCGGAATTTGAACATCTGTTCCAAATTCTGATCTTATCATGATTTATTTTCCCTTGCAAGTGCAAAAGCATCCCTATTTGGAGGGCTCAGGTTTGCAGAGTTCCAAGCTCTCCTTGAGACCCTCAGAGTTCCTGGGCTGCAAAACTTCCCACTTCCAGAGCTCCAAACCGAAACCAGCGATGCCTCCATCCCGCACAAGCCATACACAGGGTCAAGAAAATACAGGACAGGATGTGATGCCCCCTGATGAAACACACGGAACCAGACAGAAATGCAACTGAAACATCCCCCTGCTAAATGCAAACCTTTGTGCACCTGATGCTGCCAAACGCTGAGGATACAGCTTAAGCATTGCAGTGTAGTAAGTGACACACAGTAATTCAGACTGGGGATAAATTAATAACAGGCTTAATGGCTTGGCTGGTACCAGTGAGCAAAAGGATTTGGTTTTCTTAGGAAGTGACTTGGTATCAATTTCTTTGCCTCTGTATTTTGTCTGGTTTGGATCAGGGTATATTCCTACGAACCAGCTGTGCTGCCAGATGAATGCCTGTTTTCTGCAGCCCATGCAGGCATGATGCTGCCTCTCCCCCCGAAATATCCCATTCTCTCATCCCAAACCAGACTCCTATCCTGCGGGAAACTTAAGGAGTGCTAAAACAATGTCGAGCTGCCAGTCACCAAGGACTTGTGCTAGAGCTTGATTAAAACTGACATTACAGTGACTCTCCCTACAATTACCATATGAAATGGTAGAACT